AAAACACCTATGTTATGTAATGACCAGTAGTACTCTGATCTGCAAACAGTGGTGTTCCAGAGACTGCTGGCAAACTGGTGTGACATTCCCTGTCCCCAGGCCACTGACCCTCATTTCAGGCTCAGTCAACATCGTGCARTTCCAGGTTTTTGCTGCTCTGGAGTGGGAATCACTCTTCATGGTGATCCTCCAACATCTCTCTCAAACATCAGGAGGGTTTAAAGAGATCTAAAGCTCTCCACTTTGGTGAAGTGTTATTCAGGCAGCCCTGAGGCAGCTGATCCTTTTTCTGCCCTGTTGACAGCTCCTTGAGAGTTTTCTTGGAGATGGGCTGGAGACAGCAGTGGTTTTCTGGACCCAGAGGGCCACGCCTTGGAGATGGTGCTTGTGGAGGGCTGGATGTGTCACMATTCACTGCATCAGTTTTGGCACTCCAAGCTGCAGATCTTTGCTAATCTGGCTCCTTTKCACTGAACTGAGTAAGGAAACTCTCACAAGAATGTTTCCACCAGAAATCCCAGGCAGGCAAAGTGGGTAARACAGGCTGGGAGAAGGTGRGACAGYACACGGRTTTTACTTTGACAAGACTCAAGTCTTTATTCACTGCATATTTATATTGAGCAAAATGGTCTGGACTCGTTTTTCTGTGGTAAAAGGACAACAAGGTTTGAGTGTGGGAGTGGAGAGCCACAGGGTGGGCAGGCAGAGGTTTTCCCCTGCACACAGTGTCACCAGTGGGGTCCCCTTAGCTTTTAGAACAAATGAAAGACCTGCTCTGCTCTGGCTAATGTGTAATTACACCTTCAGCACAACTCCTGCCCCAGCTGTTTGCTTGCCTGTCTTTGTGTGCACAATYTCAAATGCCTCCAGGCTCTGCATTCAGCAGTGTTTGGGTGAAAAACACAGTGTTTCTCCTAATTTTCAGCCATTTAGGGCTTGGCATAGCYAGATTTCTGCCACAAAAGTTGGTAGCTAAATCCTTGATGTATCTTTGAGTACTTCAACCATGTTGTTTTTCTGTTTCTGTGCAGTCATTTTCCAAATAGAACAGAAAAAGATCCTTCTGGGATTAAAATGTAGATGAGACAAAGATGCAACAGCAAAGGAATAATTTGTTTCAATTCCCCAGCGGAAGCATTCCGGTTATTAGATCTAGATTAATTGTCACCATCTTTTTACCAACAAGAATGTTTTGGTTTGGGYTGCTGATTAAACTTCTGCAACAGGGGAAAAACAGAAGAAATGATGTTACTGCTTGGTTTATTCTGTGGTCTCCAGGAAACCAGCACATCCCGCGGTGATGCTTCATGCACCTGCCTGGTTTGATGGCACAGACACGGGGCTGGGGCTGTCTGAGAGGTTTCCTGGCTCTGGAGAGACTTATTTCATGTCATGAATCCCTCTGCCTGTCTGGGTTCCAYGCTATTAACACCGTGGTTTAGCAAAAAGCAAGTTGGACATTTCATAACTTTCTGTTTTGACCTCTCCTTGACCCTCTTGTAAAACATTAYTCAGTGAAGAACAAAGCCAGGAGGCTCTGCCTGTGTCCCAGGTGGTTCCAGTGATGTCACTTGGCTCTGTCACCCCTCACCAGGTGCAGGGGGATGAGGGGCTGGTGTCTCTGCCTACAGCAGAACATCTCACACAGCAACAAAGAGGCTGCATGGAAATTAAAGGTTACCCCCAAAGAGCCACAGAGATGTCAGGGGCTGTGGATTGACCATGTTTGACCAGCACATCCCACTCAGAGCACGTTGGTGGGGTCCTGCCTGCCCTCCTCCTGCTGCTCAGTGCCCCAGGAATTTAACCACTGTTAAATTCCCTTTAATTAAAAACTCAGGAATGAAAATATTAGTGGTAAACCCCTGAATGCTGGAGTCTAGTGGCTAAACACTGAGGAATGTGTTTTATCAGCCTGGTCATGCTCAGGGATGTGGGGACAGGGGGTAAAAGGGTAATTCTGTGCTCTCTGGGAAGGGAAGGGTTTCTTTGTCTCCTAAATGGCATTTTGTGGTGGCATCTGGTTGGGCTCCAGAGCCAAGCATTGTGGTGACTTGAAATCTACTCCCAARTATGAACCTGTATCTGTATGAATTGATCCCTCAGAAAGAGTTAAGAATTTTGCTAGGAACATTAATGTATTTTTTGAGGACTGGGATGTCTCTCTTGTGAGACAGATTGTGCTGAGGAGAGCAATGGAATCACATCCCAGGCTGTGGGGTCCAGCCCTCTGGATTTGCAGTTTCTGCCTGGATTCTCATTCATTAATTCTGGAGCTGTCTTTTAACCGTGGTTATGGATTGGATTTCACTGCTGCTGCACTTGGTGAGCAAATGGAACATGACAAAAGAGCAGTTTTAAGAAATGGGGTGTGCCATTAAAGACCTTTTAAAGAATTGTAGGTACCTCTTTTGACACCTACCAGATGCTGTTTTCATGCAGCAGAGCTAGGTATGGATTATTTTATTTAATGTGGAAGCAATTTCTAAAGCCTTTAATTGACTTGCAGAGGCTCAATGAAGGAAAAACTCTGTTGGGATTACAGAGTTGTAGCTCTTACCTTTAGCTGCCATAAAATGCTTTGCATAAAAGGCTAGGAATAACATTATTTCCAAATACCAAASTGTTTCACTGAAAATAAACAGAAATGTTTTCCATTCTTGAGGGAGCCCAGGGTTTCCCCCCCAACCCTTGTTTTTTAATTTTTCCAAGGCAAGAAAAAACATTCAGTAGTCACTTTTTTGGGGGGCAATTTATGTGCTTCACTATAAGGTTGGTGAGTTGCCCAGGAAAACTGTGGATACCCCATCCCTGGAAATATTCAAGGCCAGGTTGGCTGGGGCTTGGAACAACCTGGGATAGAGGAAGGAGTTCCTGGCCAGGGCAGAGGGGTGGTCCCYGTCATCCTAAACCATTCTGTAGTTCTGTGATTTAAAATTTTGTTCATCAAACCTTGTACTTCAATAAGTGGAGGATGTTAGTTTTCATTTGATTGAAAAATCAGGACATGGGAACCATCAGAGAAAGCTTTGTGGAGATTGGAAGAGAGGGAGAGTTTCAGACTCTGCCTTGCTCCTGGCCCCTTTTCCTGAYATTTCCCTCGTCTTTCGACAGCTCTGGAGCAGAGCACTGGGAATTACAATAGCAGGCACTTATTTACATGGAGAACTGTGATAGGGAAATGAGTCATTAGAAAAGGTATTTTGCAATTTTAATCAATTTCGTTGCTGCTTGCCAGCAAATTAAAAAATCTGCCCTCCAGGAAGTGTCTGCTGTCAGCGGATGAGGAAGCAGAGCCCGGTCCCAGGGGAGAGAGGGGGAGCACTGGCACAGGCAGCTGCTGTGAGATGAGCCCAAGATCCCTAAATCATTTTAGAAAGCCCTTTTTGACCTGGTGAGCCCAGGATTGCCAGGGTCAGTCCCACCCTGTGCCCTCGGGCTGCTCTGCTTTGCTTGTGAGCTTCTCTAGAGCAGCAGCACCAGTGCTCAACTTACCACATCCAGACATCTTTACAAATCATTTGTTTGCCCCCAACATCTCCTGCTGCAACTGGTTTCTGCTCCAATTGTGAGTTTGCCACAGTTTGTGTGAGTGTTTACCTGGCTGCAGGGTCCATTCTTTAGYATCTCACCCAATTTAGTATTTCTGCAGAAGGAAATTCCTGTCTGCCAGCTGAGAGCTGTTGCAGCTTCATGGCTGGAGCTGTATTTCCTTCTTCATCCCTCTGCCCCCAGGGGTTTCYATCTGCTCTCCCACCTTCCATGCTGCTGCTGAGGATGTGCCARGTTCCATCTCAGGTGTGCTCATTTAGTTTTGGCCTTATTGTGGATTTTTAGCAGAAAAAGAAAGCAGAAAGCAGCTGCTGAAAACAACTGAATGCTGGTATCCTCTCAGCCCAGTGGGTCAGGGCTGTATTACCAAAATAAAACTCTCCAAGTCATCACTCCGTGACCCCACACCTGAGAGTAAAGGTCTTCTGGTCATTTTGAGTTTACTCAGTTTTMTAGGAAGAAAGAAATGGCAGCAATAAAACATCTTACAGCAGTGTTGTGAGGAGGTTTTAAAGCTCCAGATTAACTGTGCCTGGTAAACTGCAGAGCAAGGCCCTGATTTTTTTCACCCTCTCTGTTGCTTCATTGTGCATGAAGAAAAACTGGACACATGTGGGGCTGYTAGTTAAGGCAGGGGAGGCAAGGTTCAGTAAGAGAAAAGGTTTGTGGTGAAACTGCACCTTCCCAGCCAAAGCAAACACTGCTTAATGTTTTCCCAAACAGAGCTCCATGTGAAAAACAGAATATACAGAAAATTGGTGAACATGAACAGGGGGCAGAAGTTCTGCAATGATCACAGAATCATAGAATTCTGAATTGGGCTGAAAGGGACCTCAAAGCTCATCTTATTCCAACCCCCCTGCCATGGACAGGGACACCTTCCACTTTCCCAGATTGCTCCAAGCCCCGTCCAACCTGGCCTTGGACACTTCCAGGGATGGGGCATCCACAGCTGCTCTGGGCAACCTTTGCCAGTGCCCCATCACACCCATAGTGAAGAATTTTCTCCCATCATCTAAGTCTCCCCTCTTGTAGTTTAAAACCATCCCCTCTTGTCCTACCAGCATCTACCCGTGCAAAAAAAAAATCACATTCATTATTTTTTATAATAATGATGTGGTCCAGGGGCAGGCGAGCAGCCCACAATTTGGTGTGGAAGAGAAAAGAGCTGGGACTCAGTTTGGAGGAGAAAAGAGGAGAGATGCTGAGGAAATCAACAAAAAAAAACCAAAAAAAAACAAAACAACAAAAAAAAACAACCAAAAAAACCCACCAATTTGCGTTTAACTGAGGGCGGTTTAATGGATGCCCGAGGTGCTGGGGGCGAGGGACCAGGGGGGGACAGGGATGTGCGGGTTTGGAGCGTGTCCCTCGGCCGGGGCGGGCCGCTCCTTCCCGGGGCGGTGCGGCCGCTCCCTGTCCCTCCTGTCCCGTCCTGTCCCTCCTGTCCTGTCCTGTCCCCTCCCGTTCCGCGGGCTCAGAGCCGCTCCCCGCTCCGCAGGTGGGTCCTGCCGCGGTCCCCCTGTCCCACCCGTGTCCCGGGGGTGTTCCGGGGGTGTCCCGGGGGTGTCCCGGGGGCTCAGCAGGCACCAGCGGGGCGGAGCAGTGGCTCGCAGCCGCTGTTTGTGGTTTTCCCCGCTTCCACGTGGCATTTCTGCCCCGTCCCGCTCCGGCCGCGGCTCTTGGCGCTCGGGTGGGCGCGCACGGACAGCAGTGAGCAGAGCSAAGGTGCGTTGGGGCTGTGCTGTCACTGCAGGGTGGGATCGGTGGGTCAGCATCCCGGGATTGGGGTCTGGAGAGCAGCACCCCAAAACTGAGGTCTTAGAGGCAGCATCCTGAGATTGGAGCTCCATGGGAGCCGCATCCTGAGATTGGAAGTCCAGGGGAGTCGCATCCTGAGATTGGAGCTCCAGGGAGCCGCATCCCGGGACTGGGGGTCCAGGGGTGCAGAATCTCCGGGCTGAGGGTTTGGGGAACAGCACTCACCCTAAGTCTGGGGTRTGGAGGAGCAGCATCTCGGGACTGAGTGTCCGAGGGAGCAGCATCCCGGGACTGACCCCACACCTCTGSCCTCTCTATTCCAGGGCTCCCCGAGGAGCTGAGCCCCCCCGGCCATGCCGGTCCCCGCCGATGCGGGGCGAGCCCCCGGCCCGCCGGACGGTGGCTGGGGCTGGGTGGTGGTTTTCGGCGCCTTCGTTTCCATCGGCTTCGCCTACGCCTTCCCCAAAGGCTTGGCCATCTTCTACAAAGAAATCCAGGATTTCTTTGGCACGTCCTATAGCGAGATCGCCTGGGTCTCCTCCATCATGCTGGCCACGACGTACGGTGCAGGTGAGTGATCCTGCACCAGCCCCCGTGCCACGGGGCGTTGTGAAAGAGGAATGAGCCAGAAATCTCCACTCTGGGCCAGAACAGAGGGAGAGAAACCACAGTGTCCATCTGCATGGGCACCATCCRCTGGTTTACTTTCTTTCCTTTCCAAATGTTCGTTTAGGCAAACAAGTCATATGTGGAGCCTAAGGGGCTCCTGCCCAGAAATCAGAAKATTGCCTGTGAAAACTTTCTGTGGGCATCAGGGAAAAAAGCCCTGRGAACAGGCTGGTGTGAAATAACTGGGTCTGGGTTTCAGCCAGAGCTGAGTGTGGAGTAGAATAATAAATGAAGTCGCTGCTTGTTTATTGTGGCAGCTGATAATCACAGCAATGAAACCGCCAGAGTCGCTCGTTCTTATCAGTTGTAAAGCAGTGCATATAACTTTGCTCTTTTTTATGATTTTGATATCACTTTCATGACTCAATGAAAAACTTGRGCTGCCCTTGATTAAATCTTCAATTGGAGGTGGACAGGAACCGCACTCTGCAACTGCAGGAAGCTTCATCAATATTTATCCGAGCTATTAAAGAAATTCTGAAAATATTTTTTGTTTTTACAAAGGGTATTTTTTTTTGCTTGATAATGCACTGTAGTGCTTTTTAGAGAGCATAGTTGCCAATGAAAATAAAGATGCTTAGAGTATGTTTRTAAGGTGGAAGTGAGGCTTGAGTCAGAACCTACTGTAATCCACTCTGTTGTAGCCCAGACTTGGTCCCACAGAGGTGAACTCTGCAAAGCTGAGTCYCTATAAAAGAACCCACAAATGGAGCACTTGGAGGGCAAAACCCAAGCAGTGATTTAGAAAGAGAAATCCCCTGCTTGTGCCAGTGCTGCTGTCCCACTGGCTGCCCCACTGCCCTGCAATAAATGTACCAGAGCAGTTACCTGGGGGCTCCCTGGCTGCCTCTGTCAGTTTTTGGTTGTTCTGCTTTGTCTTACGATAAAAAAATGTCACCCCCTCCCCTGGTATGGAAGAGATGCTTCGTGCCTGRCCATGTCTGAGTGAGGAACATGCTCTGCAGATTAACCCTGCACCTGGCAGCACCTCAGGTTGCTCACAGGGATTTAGGTGGGGAACTGAAGCCTCTTGGGGTTCAGGTAATGGCCCATGAGCTGGTTCTGGAGCAGGTGAAACGCTGCCCTCATGGCCTCTGCCTSCTCCCAGCTGCTCACTTTCCAACCCACCTTCTCCTCTGTCTCTCCAAGTGTTYAAGCCAGTGCTGTGTGCTCTGTACCTGGGACTTTTATCCCAATTACCTGAGCATCTCCTGCCTTTTTGCAGGAGCATTAACTTTGSCCTCCCTAATGCTGTTCCACGGTGATGTGGGGGATGATACAGCTGAATTGCAGGTGATTGTACCTTTGCAGCTTCCCACTAGCCTTGTAGATGCTCAGAGCTGTGTCCAGTCCTCCCCTGCTCTGYTCTGGAGTGAGATTGATGCTTTTTGATCCTCCCTGTGTCTGCTGTGACCCTGGCTGAGGTGCTGAGTCGCTGGTGGGAGCTGGCAGAACAGGAGTCAGTGAAATGCAGGTGCTCAGGAGTGTATTTAACACATCTGCTTTGATTGACTGGGCATTTAATGCCAGAGCAGGTTTGGCTTATGAATGACTCCAGTGACGGGGAAATTCTCATTAAAGGACAGATCCTGCAGTGCCTGTTTGAGCTGTGAGGATGCAAAGCTTGGTTTGCTCTGCTGAAAAGCTAGAAAGCAGTTTAATCTTGGATTTTTGCCAATCATTCCGAAAAAAAAAAGAAATTCTAAAGACACCAAGCTTTCAACAGAATCCTGAGTAGCTAAAAGAGCTGCTAAAGCAGGTRATTATTGGCACAGCATGTGCATCCCTTCCTTTGCTTCCCCGGGTCGGTGGTGACAGGGGCAGGAYGGTCACAGCCTGTGTGGAGGTGCAGGAGATGCTGCCTGCAATGGGAGCAGTGTGGGGGCACTGAGCATCCCCTCCAGGAAGCATCCTGTCCCTGTTGGGGCTGGAGGGGCCTGAGGTGCATTTTCTGGTGCCAGGTGTGGGTGTCAGAGCTGTGGAAGGAAATCCCCCTGAGGACTGACCCATCCCAGCTCCCTCCAGCCCCCATCCCCTGGCGGGGCATGCACGGGCTGATGTTGGCACTGACCACAGCTTTTGTKTGCAAACATCCCCAGGACACTGTGCYTGCTTTCCTTGGTGTTCTCGTTGGTCTGAGGACTTGTTTTAGGGCTGTGCTTCTGACACTGTAACAGAGCTTATGTTTGCATTTCATAAATAATGCAGATGAAGCTCATTTTCTGGAAATGCATGAACTAACCCAAACCTCCACTGGAGAGCTGTGTTGACTTTGACAGCATGGATGCAGATTTACAGTGACCACCTGAGGCTTTGCTTGTGGCACCACAGGAGCTCCACTTTTCAGACTAAAACTGAAAATCAGCAGCCAAGACTGTTTCTGCCCTTGGCTTTCTGCTGAATTCCCCAGGAAGCTGTTTTATACCAGCCGAGGCTCTGGCAATATATATTACAGAAGTTAATGTGTCTTATCCCCCAGTTTCTTAATCTGAACTAGGTTGCAGAAAACAATTCTGTCACTATAATAYGAGTAGTAAAACAGATTACTGTGCAGTAAAGTGGATAGCCTGGACTTTATGATGGGGTACTTGTGGTTCTTGCCAGAGCTCCTGTTCAGCAATTCCACATTTCCAGTTGCAGAGGGCAGGCTGGGAGGTTTGAGAGTGAGGAGCAYGAGGGAACATTGCTTTTCTCTCACCAAATCCCACAGGCTGAAGCCCTACCAATCTGATAAAGAAGGATTTGTYTTACAATGYTTCTGCTTTTCTTTTTTTCTCTTGTCATAGGTGAAGAGCTCATTCCTTCCCCCAAATGAGAAAGGTATTACAGAGCAGAGATATTGATGTATAAAAAGGAACCAGGGTCTGATYGATGACCTTTGAGGTCTTTTCCAACCTTAATGATTCTGTGATTCTRTAAGGGACAAGGGGCCACAGCATCATCCTGCCCTTTAGGTGCTTTCAGCTGCAGCTCAGCACCCAGGTGCCAGGCTCTGGGGGGGAGGAGGGCACAGCAAATGTCCCAAAATGTGGAGTAAATTGTGTTGCCAGATGCCCTGGGCAGGGCTTCTTTTTGCAAACTGCCTCCTTGGACTTTGCTATGCCAGCCCAAGACCAAGGTTCCCAAGTCTTGCCCCACGTTCAGGGTGAGTTTTGTTCAGGGAACAACCTCATTGCAAAGCCAAAAGCCTTTGGCCTTTGCACCTCCTGATTTGGGCTGATTTGTGACTGTGCCATGCTCACAACACCAAACTGAGCTGCCCTTGTCCCACTTTTAAGGGTGACACATTTCARGCTAGGCCATGGATGTGTCCCTGGGGATAGCCATTGCCTGGGGAAAGCAGGAGGCAGCTGAGCTCTCAGGAGTGAAAAGATAAGCAGTATTAATTTGCTAGTAAATTAGTTGCCCCATTCAGCATCAGGGGAAACAGCCAAACATTCTAAAAACAAGAAATAGTGATGCACTAATTTAATGGCAGCAATGTTCTCGTAGCTGTTATGGTCTCCTGGAAGGCTGTGAGAGAGGTGAGGATCGTGGGAAGAAATAATGTCCTTTATTATGGCCAACTGTTAGAGCTTGAACAACGAGCCAGYCCCCTGGCACGTGTGCCAGAACAGAGGAAATAATTTAATACTAGAACAGGATCTGAGTTTTCATTTGAAAACAGGATCTGCATTTTCATTTAAAAATTTTTTARTGGTGACTGTGTGTCCAAATGCTTCCTTCATCTTCATAATGGRATAACGGGAATCATCCAAGGGAAACTCAGAGGGCAGATCCTCCAGCAGAGTCATTTCAGCTGCTTGGTTTGAGTAGCTGGGGCTACACCAGGGGACATCAGAGCTTCTTTTTAGTAATTTTGAAGAATTTCACTCATTTGCAATTGCTGTGCATGTTTGTATGCAGCTTGGAGGTGTAAATATGTGCTGCTTCTGTTGCCTTCTGATAGATAAAAAGCTCAGTTGCATCAGCATTGTTTATATTCAGAATTGCATTGTTTTTACTCAGAATGTCTGCAGTGGAGTCTTGTCTCTGTCTCGCTATCACCTGCTGTAAAACTCCCCCCAAAATCTCCAGARTGCTGCTTGGACATCCAAATTTCCTTTAAAATTAAGGAATCACCTTCTGTCTATTTTACAAAGACAGCATCGGAGAGCCACATTTTGCAAACACAAGAAAAAAAATAGAATGTTTCTGGTGAAAAAGCCTCGACCTGAAACCAGCCTTTATTAGTTTTGCTATTTATTGTTTGGTAATTTGGTGACGATCCAATTACCTGAAGATTTAATTCTGGAAATGCTCCACAACTGAATCTCTTTCTCCAAAGAAACTTTCTCCCAGAGCTTGTGAGTGCTTAATGGAGYATCTGCTAAAGCAGCGAGGAGGAGATAGGGAAGCTGAAAGTCCACCATTGACCTTGAACATTTAATCCAAAATTTTATAGCTGTATTTTATTACACGGCTGGCATGATAAATTGCAGTGACAGGTTTAGAAAGCACCTTACAACATGCAGTGGCGTAAAGCTATATTAATAATGAGTTTGATTCTAACTTAATCAAAGCTGCCAATGTGCTCTCCTGTTCTGGTCCAGGCTCCATCAAAACCTTCTCTGCCTCCAGAGGACCCCATTCAGGGCTTTCCACCCATCCCAAATTGCTTTGAAAAGTCTGTGAAGCACCCCAGCACTGCAAGGGGAAACTGAGGCAGGGGAGGGATTTTTCAAGAACAAGGTTATTTTTGCAGCAACATCACCTCTGTCAGCTCTCTCTGCTGCTCTGCTTGCAGCTCTGGTTCAACAAACATTATCCAGTGGGGCTTTTACTAGGATTTCCCTAGGCATGGGCTTTCCCACCAGGATATTTTGTGGAGGCTGAMACAAAAGCAACATTTTTCTGTTTAT